CGGTACACGGGCGTCTCACTGTTGTGACCTCTCCCGTTGCGGAGCACAGGCTCTGGACATGCAGGCTCAGCGACCATGGCTCACGGGCCCAGCTGCTCCGCGGCATGTGGGATCTTGGCGGACCGGGGCACGAACCCGCGTCCCCTGCATCGGCAGGCGGACTCTCAACCACTGCTCCACCAGGGAAGCCCAAGTTCTTTATATTTATTGTGCACTTTATTTCTATTATTATTACATTGTAATATATAATGAAATAATTATACAACTCACCATAATGTTGACAGGAGGTGGAGCTCAGGTGGTAATGACAGCAATGAGAAGCAGCTGTAAACACAGATGAATCTTCGCTCACTCACCTGTCATTCACCTCCTGCTGTGTGGCCAGGTTCCTAACAGGCTGCAGACTGGTACAGTCCGCAGGCCAGGGGTTGGGGACCCCTGTTATTGGAGAAGGTGGTACTAAAACAAACTGGGACTCATGCCTATTCAGCCCAGGGCCTCTTCCCCTCCCTTTGATAACTACATCCTCAGATCAAATTACACGCTCGACACACGCACAAGTATACACACATGTTTGCTTTCCTCCCATGTGTAACTTTCTCCTTCAAGGTTACCTTAATCTAGCCTGAATGCCATCTGGTAAATGTGCTATAAGTTGACAAGGGGTGGACTTCATAGTGTGATTTTTTTCCCCTGGATCCACATTCCTTTAGGAAAGTGGTTCTTAAACTTTGGTGTGAATAAGAATCACGTGGAAGAATTTTTTAATGTAGATACCTGGGCATCACCTGTGAGGTTATGATTTAGTAGGTCTGGAGTGGTGCCCAGGAATCTGCATTTTAACAATCTTCACAGGAGCTTGAGCAATCATTGGTCTACAACCACAAGTTTAAGAAACTTCCTGAGGGACAGCCTTGATGAAAAATGGGAACTACTACCCACTTAGGAGATGCCCAAAGGGCTCAAGAAATTTGAACAGTTAAATCACCAAAGAAAACAGACAGATGACCAATAAACACATGAAAAGATGCTCAAAATCATTAGTCATTATGGAAATGCAAATCAAAACCTCACTGAAATACTACTGGAAAACTACTAACTTGTTAAAATGGTTAAAATAAAAGAAACTGCAATTTTTCTGGGAGGGATGCACTATAGTTCAGCACTTTAGAAATCAGGTAGTTTCTTACAAAGTTAAATATACACTTAATCCAGTACTGTCACTCCTAGGTATTTGCCCAAATGAAATAAAAATTTCTTTTCACAAAAACCTGTTCATGGATGTTTACAGTAGTTTTATTCATAACTACTAAACACTGGGGAAAAAAAACAAATATCTTTCAACTGGTAAATGTATAAGCAGTCTGTAGTACAGCCATACCATAGAATACCACTCAACAGTGTAAAGGAATGAACTATTGACACTAACACACAACAATATGGATGGATCCAGAAAGCATTTTTCCTAGTGAAAGGGGTCAGACAAAAGACAACACATTGTACGATTCCATCTATTTGACATCCTGGAAAAGGCAAAACTACAGTGACGGAAAGTAGATCAGTGGTTACCAGGGGCTGGGTATTGGGAAGGATTTGACTACCAAAGGGCATAAGGGGACTAGAGGGTTGAGGGAACTGTTCTGTGTCTTGATTATGGTACTGGTTGAATGACTGTATGCTGAACATTAGAAGAGATGAATTTTATTATATGTAAGTTATACCTTATTAGAAAGAAAACTCAACACAGAGGGGAAAACCACCAAAGGATAAAAAGTGGCTTTATTCAAATTAAACTCACGACGTATTTGACAGCCGAGCATGGTTTCTAGGTGTAGATGGGCCCAATTTCAGCAGCTCAGAAGGATGCTTAAATGTAGCGATAATGCCCGACTTATCTCTCCAGGGGCCCATAGTACTTCCATATGTGACTTAAAAATTCTCAGAGTAGCCTGCAAACTGGCATTCCATGCTTATAACTCAGGGTTAAAAGATGTTGGGCTGAGAGCTTAAAGTAGGTATCTAGCCTTGCAGAAATCTAAATAACTCTGACCCTTCAACCTATTATTTTGGTGTTTTGAAATCACTTTCTGCAGATTTGTGTGGTCCTGGAAGGCTGGTTTGGAGAACAAATACAGGGGTTTGCTAGTGGTGGGGTGGGGGGGGGTAGGGAAGAGAGAAGTGAAGCGTTAAGAGATGCTCCTTTTTTCAAGTGAATGTTTCTGAGGTGTGTGAAGCCATTTGCTTTTATAATCTAAAAGCAAATCTAAATTTGCTCCTTTTTTCAAGTGAATGTTTCTGAGGTGTGTGAAGCCATTTGCTTTTATAATCTATCTGCTAAGTTGTTCCTCCTCTAGGGAGTTTCTTCCATTTGCATGTTCCTTATGTTTTCTTAGAATTCCACCTTAAAACAAACTGAATGTACTTATGGCCAATATCTCGGCGCTGAAAAGTTTTGCTTAAACGATGACACACTGCAGTTGGAGCCTGCTTGCTCACCCACATCTGGAAGCCACATGTCAGCAGCAGCTGTATAAAACCAGCAGCCCAGCAGACATAGGGTGACATTTTTTGCCAGAAACCCAGACAGCATGGACCTCACTCTTCTGTGGGTGCTTCTGCCACTGGTCACCGTGACCTGGGGACAGTATGGTGACTACGGGTACCCACATCAGCAGTACCATGACTATAGTGATGATGGGTGGGTGAATCTGAACCGGCAGGGCTTCAGCTACCAGTGTCCCCATGGGCAGGTGGTGGTGGCTGTGAGGAGCATCTTCAACAAGAAGGAAGGTTCTGACAGACAGTGGAACTACGCCTGCATGCCCACGCCTCAGAGCCTGGGGGAGCCCACAGAATGCTGGTGGGAGGAGATCAACAGGGCTGGAATGGAATGGTAAGAGCCAGCGGGCTGCACACGGCCGGTATTATCGCAGCATATCCCTCTCACTGGGGGATGCTTGATGCTCAGGGAACAGCACTTACTAGAGACTGGGCAAGTTCTACCAGGAACCTTTCCATTGCATGCTCTGGGTGGGGCAGGGTCACTGCTGAGCAGACTGCATTACAGGACAAACACCCAGAATGGGGGGTGTCCGTGGCAGATGGACTCCTCTGTGGTTCTGTTCCTTCCAGAAGCAGCCCTACTCTCAGTTTGGTCCAGGACTAGTAGGGGTCTGCGAAACGTTTACCAGTTCGCCAAAAGTTAAGTACAGAAATTGAAAGTATTTACGGAACTTTATAGCAATTCCACATTGCTGTGACATCCAAGTGACATTTTAGTTTGGTAGTAATTTATTTTGACTGTTTTACAAAAGCATTGGTACCCAATAGTTTGGGGAAAATAAACAATGGGACGTTCACCACAGACAGTTTGAGAAATATTGATTTAGAGCAAACGAATGGGGAGAGGGGTCAAAGAAGCTTAGGCAAAGAGAAGTGAAATTAAATAGCTCTCTCCTGCCCTGATTAAATGTGCTCTCTCAGTTTTGAGTACCAAGGTCCTTCTCTCTGTCTGAATTTAAAATGGGTTTCATTGTTGGGAAATAGTTTACTAAAGTCTTTTGGGGAGGACTGTTCTCTTCTGACTGGGCTCTGCCATGGTTAATGACATGGAAATGGTATGAGGCTGTGTCTTCACTGTGGGATGTGACTGTGTCGCCCTAGTACTTGGTCAGAGCCCATCCTAGGAGCTATGGTCTGTGAGGCCAGTTAATCATAGCAGCCAGGATGAAAGCAGGACCACTGGGTGGGGCAGGGGAATGGGTGGAAGCAGACCCTGTGGAAGGCTGGCCCGGGGAAGAGGAAGCCCAACTGGCAGGCTGCTGTTATGGTAACTGTAGAGAGAAGATTCTTTAAGGACTCCCAGCATGCATGTGGTGTAATGGGGGTTAGGGATGGTCAAGAACAAAACTCTGAGGGTCACTCCAGCAGCACACAGAACAATGATGGGAGATCAAGAGGAAAAGACTGATGGGTGGAAGGTACCTCTCAGTAATAAAAACAGCGGCCATTGATTGAGTGCTTACCCTGAGTAAGCACCATGCTGGGTGATTTATATGGATTTTCTCATTTAATGCTCAAAACAAATCTCTAAGTCATTTTATAGTTAGACAGAATGCAGTCTAGAGATCAGGGGTTTCCTCGGCTGGGAAGTGGTAGAGCAAGTATGTAGATCCAGTGAGTCTCAGCTCCAAATTGTATGTGCTTAGCCCTGGTGATGGGTGAGACAGACTTGAGAGTCTGCTCCCTCTTCCCAGTGTGGGCTCAGTCAGCACAGCCAGGGCCACAGGACTGGACTCAGGGCAGTTCTTCAGCCTGAGGACGGAGGGCTCTGCAAATCACAGCAGAAGCCAGCCCTAGAGGGATTGGACCAGCTTGTTTACTACCATGACTGAGGAGGGGCTCAGCCAGCCTGTGGAAGGGATGGGGAGAGGGTCACACAAGCAGCTTCAGGTCAGGGGCCCCATCATTGGGCCTTTCTCATCCCCCTCACTGCCTCTAGTGAGCAGATTTAATTATCCAAAACCCCTTCTGACAGATGGCAGCCTCACCTCAATGACTGACAGTCTCCAGTGGTTCCCTGTAGCCAGGCCAGTTGCCTGGCACAGAGCATGGGGATACCCAAATTACAACTGTCTGTCTAGTCCTCCAACTTAGGGGGCTATTATATGGGTGGGGCCCCTTTCTAATGTCCCCCTTGTAGAGCCACAGCAAAACACACTCAGATGATTTCTTAAGCCCCAAAGGAAGAGCCCTGGGCTCTGAATCAGGAGGCCTGGATTTAGATCCTGGTTCTAAAGACAACTTGCCAGGTGACCTTGAACCATGGGTTCAGCTCTCTAGGCTCCCGCCACATTTGGAAAGTGAGCGTTCAGACTGCATGATCTCGCAAGGCTCCATGGCTCCAGTTCTCTTTCCTCTGCTTGGCTCTGAAAAGACAGTTGGATTTTTCTATCATTCTGTTGATTCTTGTGTTTACCCCTGCTAGGGAGAGAAGGCAAATTATGTTTAGTTTCAAACTTGCCAGGGTGTGACTGGTTTGTCATTAACTCCCAAACTGTCTGAAGAAAAGTATGAGAGGGAGTAGAAATTATGTGACTTTGTTTGACCAATGTGAGTCGAATGAGAAACTGACAGGCACGATCTCTCTTCCACCTTCTCTTCTTCCACATTTTTGAGTATGCAGAGTCAAGTGATATTATTTTTTTCTTTCTCCCTTTCCACCCTCTGTTTTGTCATCTCCTCCTCCATTAATCACAGAGTAAAAAATGTACAAACATGAAAAACAGTAGGACTCAGCTGTCCCAGGACTGATCTCAATTATTCCAGAGGCATTTTTGTTGGATGATTATTGCTTTGAGTTTAGACTCCTGTCTCAGTGAAAAATCTGGAAGGAAAGAAATTGCTCATAAACTGGGGAGCAGTTATATCTTCCTGTTGGCTGCAGGGTCTTAATCTGTTCCGGAGGAAGAGTTGACAGTTTTGTGCAATTTGGCTGCCTTCTATAACTACATTAGCTTGCAGGCTTATTTTAAAAGGGGACGAGGAATCTTGAACACGGTTGTGACAACAGTACATAGGGTCTGCTAAAGACACTTGCTAATTGGAGCACAGTCTTTAAAAAGTGTTTCTGTCATGGCTGAGTGACTTGTAACACTGCTGTTTTGCTAGGGTTTCTCTGTTGAAAATGACTTCTTCAGTTGGCAGATTCTGAAGTGTGCATGCTGGTACCTCACTAACAACTGTTTGGAGGTTTTACCTGAGTTCCATGAGTGGTGTTTTGCCATCTCAGAGCATGCCTCAGTTGTTCTTGGGGCGTCTTCTCAAACCTGGGTTGACCCAGGCTGCAGGATATGTGGGTCCTGTGTGGAACAGGATGAAACTGGAATTCTGTAGTGAGGCTGAGCTGGAGTGTGGTGGAAGGGGCTCTGGTCTTAGAATCAGGAAACTTTTTGATTTGCAGCTCCTGTTTCTATCATCTCTGAGCTCTGTGGTTTTGGGCATTCAGTTTCTCATTCTGGAAAACAAGAAAAGAGTGTGACACCCACCTCACAAGCTGTTAGAGGGTGTTACCGTGACGCTTACAGGAGAAAGTGTAGGAGAACTCTAAAACAAATCTAAATCTAAAACAAATTCCTGGCACATCATGAACAGTCAATAAAGATTTTGTGAATCTGAAATTTGATGAGGCTAATTTGAGGCAAACCAGCTTTACATGGAGTCTGAATTCAGAAGAACATTCAGTATATTGGCATCTGCTTTATCCCCAGGGCTTCAAAGAATTCCCAAGAAGATATTTCAAGATGGCAGCTTGTTTTAGAGCTAATTATTTGAATTTATGAATTTACCAAATATAAGTCACATGATAGAGAAGAGGAAACCATGTTACTTCCACAACATTCCAAAATCATGAGCTACTCCAAATTTTGGCAGTTTTATCCTTGGCTAAGGTCCAAGCCCACATAAGAGCATATAATTCAGCCTGTTAGGCTGAAGTAGCCATAGATGAAGGCACTGCCTCAACAATATCAAAAGAAGTTGCAATAGCATACTCAGCACAACATTTGCCGTTGTCACCTTTTAAATAAGAGCTACTAGTGAACCATGAATAGTCAACCTTACCCAAAGAATTTCCTACAGATCATTTACAAGGAGTCAGTAGGTGATCCATCAGTGTTAAGCAGTCAAGAGGAACTTCATCAGTAACAGAAGGGAGAAGAGTAGCAGAATTAAGATTATTACAACATAAAAAAGTGATGTGAGGAACAGCTAACAAAAGGGCTTCTTATGAAGTGAGGCAGCTGAGAAATGTGGAATGTGATGAGAATTTTCAAGAGAGCTTCTAATGAAATGGTGAAATGGTCCTGGACAAACCTCAACTCTAAGTCCTTAGGTTTTCTCACCAGTAAAATAAGAGCGTTACAGGGACTGGTTAAGGGACAGTGAGGCCTTGAGCTTGTAATCTTCTAAGATGGTTTTTATGCCTTGAAGGGCTTCTTTACTTACAGGATGTTGATTAATTCTGGGAACAGGTTTTAAGAGATCTATTTGAATCTTGATGGGAGGTGGGCTGTGAATTTTGCCAGTATCAGCTGTAGATTTTGCCCGTAAGGAGGGTGGTAGTTGATTCAATAGGGGTAGATGATCAGTGTTTCCAGAATAAACTCTAGTACCATCAAAAACAAAGCAAATAAAAGATGTCAAAGAGTAATATAATTCACCTGGTTGGCTGCTTTGATAACTACTGTCAATTCTAGGATTGCTTTCTCCTTTTGGGAGAAAGAAAGTTCTATATACTTCTCAAAGAAGTCTTGACCTAATAAATGGATGGGCAGAGAAACTAAGGAGAAAGGGGTATGTGTCTTTCAAAGGGCCTAAACAAAATGGAATACGTTCAAGGACAGAAACCTCTTGAGGTTTATTAGAGATCCCTACTATTTGAATTGTTTTAGCACTGCAAGGCAAGGGGTGATTGATAGTAGAGGGGTTGAGTACCAGGAGTGTGGCTCCAGGGTCAGTGAGGTCTGGAAGAGATTTATCCCCAATCTGGAGAAATGTTCTTCAAGTCAGTTAAGAGGGAAGATTGGGAAGAGCTCCTATAGTTCCCAGGAGCTTAGTCACTGAGAACCGGGAGGATGTTGGAAAAGGCTGATTAGAGGGCTGAAGGCACCTAAAGCACTTAAATTTGTAGCAAAGTCTTTTCCAATGTCATGGCTTTTTGCAATAATAGCAGAAACTCGGGGTGGGTGGGGGGTCATTTAAGGGCCTTCACTTGCTGGAGTTGAAGGTTAAGAATTTGGTCAGTCTTCCTTTTAGGTGACTCATTTAAAGTATGAGAGAGCTGGTTTATCAGATTAACTAAATCTGGAGTGGACAAATTTTCCTGTTCCGTCC